ACCTGCCTTCTGTTGGTTGGAGAAGAAGGGTGGGGGGGGTGCCCAGGCTTCAGAGGTTTCGAAAGAGCCCTGGAGGGAGCGGAGATGTCTTTCAGTGGCCCCAGACTTCTTGAGAGTCTTTAGAGAATGTGTTTTGATGGCTCTAGCTCTGGGATTGTGGGCTTGTGGAAACAAAATAGTGGCGCCCACAAGGCACACCTGGAGCGACACCAGATGGCAGGATGAAACCATGTGGCCGGGCCTCCCTGGGGAAGGCAGGAACATGCATAGGGTAGTCTTGCACTACCCCAGGCAGACAGTGCTGCCCGGCCTCAGCGTGTAGGATGCTGGTCTTGCTGCTGTAGGTCCTGACGAGCTCAGCCCCAGCCCCTTCAGGATTTCATACTGTTCTGGAGAGGCACTCCCATGACCACTTCTGCCAGCCACACCCTCACCTGTGCTGGTTCTGCTCTGCTCAGGGCTGGTGGGGACTGAGACCGTGGCTCCCCAGGAAGATGGTGGCACCTCGAGTCACCTCCAGATGTCCTGGAGAATTCAGAAATTGTCCACCGAGTGGAGCTTGCCATTGTCAGACTAGGGAACAGCATTATCTCATAGACCTGTGAGGCTCCCCCTTGAGGTGCTAGAGTGGTGATTTCGGCCTCCCACAGCTCTTTGTGGGGCTGGCCTAGGGGCAGGCATGATGTTTGGGGTGCTGGTGGGTTTGCAGGAGCAGCTTGAGAGAACTTGGCCTTCTCTTGAGCCCTTCATCATAGCCTCCCAGAGCCAGCTCTTCCCACTGCACCAGACCAGTAGTAGGGTTGCTCACAGTGGCAGTCGATGCCAAATGGCTTCCTGTGAGGCTCCTCTGCTCTGAAGCCCTGCCTGGAGTCGTGTCCTGTCCCAGCCCTAGAGGCTGCTAGAGGCTCGTTTTATGGGTTTGGTTCAGCAGCATGTGCCCAGCCCCAGCATGTTTTGAAGGCCGCCAGGGACTTCCGTCCCAGCTGAGTCTACAGCTGACTAGGGTGTGGTAGTTAAGGAGGCTGGGCAGCCAGTGCCCTGCTTTTCAGCCAGAGTGGGAGCAGAGGGTGAGGAGGCCGCAGCGGCTGCAGCGAGCAGACTGGGTCTGGAGGCCTCCAGCGTGACCTTGCTTGGAAGGGTTTCTGCGGTCAGGAAGAGGTCTGGGGCCAGTGAAGGGGTGCAGACCTTCTCATAAAGGAAGGGGGATGGGGTTGATCTACTGGACCTGAGGGGTCTGGAGGCTCATGTCAGCCACCCACTGTACAAATCTCCCTGTTACCTAGCTGAGGTCCTGGCCTCAAGTGAAGGTTCCTTTGAACTCTGCTCTTTGAACAGGGCTCTTGGTCAGGGCCTGCATCCTCACTCCATGTTTCATATTTTTCAGATTTTGCAAGAACGGGGCTCAAGGATGTGAGGAGTACTGACAGCTGAAGAAATGATTTTCTTTTCCCCAAGATAAAGTGAACCGCCATGTGCAGAAAGCGTGGCAGTGAGAAGAAACCTGCTTTTGATCATTTCTCTAGAGATCTGGGTGTGGATCCTTTTTTGCCTCAGATGTGGGTGGCGAGAGACAGCCCAGCTGTCACGCCGGTCGTCCCCACAGGGAGGCAGCTGGGGCTGGGTTGGCAGTCTCTGTGGCCTCACTCTGTTCTTTCCGAGTGCTCCGTGGGACTGAATGCTGCTGACCAGCCCACGCATTCCTGAAGATGATCTGAAGGACAAGGTCCTTGGTGCTACACACAGTCTGCAACAAGCAGCCTGGGCCTTGCCAGGAGGGGGGCGGCTGCCACGACTCCTGTCCAGCGCACTGTGGCGTAGGGCGTGGCTCATCTCTGGTGAGCACCGGGCCCTCATCCTTGGGTCAGGGAGGCCTCTATGCCTCCAGGCATGATTGGTTGGTTTCTCTTGACCTCGGCTGAGGCTCCTGACAAAGGCAGCCTCCACATTATCACTACTTCTGGGCACCGCCCCCGGACTGCACCCTTTCAGAGGCAGGCTCTCCTAATGGCCTATAGGCTAGCCCAGGATCATCAAGGCTTCTCCATTTGTATTTTCCAGGCAAGAGGACTTTGTATCCCTTTTTTAAAGTGTGGATAGACCACCCGGTGTTTATACTCTTTAGAAATGCCTAAAAGTGTTGCTACATTTTGGATTGATCTGTTAAATCATTTAAGGGAGGTAGATGTTTTGCCTCATACACCCCACCTGTGGGCTCATGTGGGGCTGGCGCCTACCAGTGCCTTTGTTGTGCCTGGGATGGAGGCTGGGGCAGGAGGCCTGTCCACCTGGCTTCTGGAGCTGACACTCCAGGTCATGTTGAACATTCAGGATGTTTACAGCGCAAACATGTCTCCTCACTGGCTCTCATTTCCTTGTCTAACTATGCAGTTCTTCTTGGGTTTCGGGAGTGTTTGAGACTGCGCGGCCTGCATGGGCTCTCTTCACCCGACATGACATTGCAGCTGCTAAGGTCCCTGCAGGGGCTGCGCCTGCAGCTTGGAAACCCATCTTTCTCAGCTGGTTAGGGATGTAGCAGGCCACAGACTTGGCCCAAGCAAGCAAGCTCTGTGCTTCTTGACCCCTGGCTTCTCAAGGGAGCTGTGCAACCCGACCGCCATGGCTGCCCGAGTGCAGGTCAGAGCCTCTAACACTGTTTCAAATGCTTCCGGAAACTTCTTGCCTAGGCCCTCTTCCTTCTCCTCTGCCAGTAACTGATGAATTAAGTTCTCTAGCATCTAGGACTGACCTCGTCCTTTCCTAAGGTCTGTTGTATGTTGTTAAATGTTTGGCTTAAATGATTCATGAAAACCTTTCTATTGGGTTGGTTGGGCCTCAGCAGCCCTGGAGGCAGTGGCTCTGCTGTTGGCCATGGGGAATACTCTGGGGAGTTGCTGGATACTTAGCATTGTTTGATTTATGACTTTGACAGTAGATAGACTTGTGGGGGGTTTTGTTTTTGTTTTTTAATTTAATGATATTAAAACTTAATTCACTAAAATTCTAAGGGGATATTTATACTTTTATACTTTTTTAGGTATCCGTATTTTATCAGCTTATCGTTTAATGCCTAAGTTTCCCCTGAAAATAGTAAATAAAATTGTGTATTTATGAATGCGTTCAGCGACTGTTCATGCCTTGGAGTGTGGAGAAGGGCCGTTCCTCCTGTGCAGTGTGTCTTGGTAGACCAGAATGATGTCCTCGCTCTTGTAGAAAGCAGCCTTTTCCTGCTTCCCTGAGGGCTTGTTTTTGTCTGCTGTCCACAGACTGTTCCCTGAGCCTTGTGTAGCCTGTGTCCTTTTGTGTAGCCGATGCAGCCGGGATGGTGGCCCACTGACCCAAGGGTACAACAAGGCTGTCCCGTTGCCCGGGTTGAGATAAGGGGCTCCTGTACAGCGCTCAGGTGTCTGGGCCACGAGCTCCTCTGGGAATAGCCTGGGAACATGGATGGGGAAGGGGGGGTCTAGACTCTGTTCTGAGAGGTCTCTCTGTGCTGACACAGCTTAGAACATGGGATGTCTGAGCAGAAAACGAGAAACGGAGGCCATTGAGTCTCAGCCTCAGACAGGCTGCCAGCTGTGAGGACAGCTCGGGCAGTCCTGCTGATTCTGTGAAGGGAGCAGTTGGGAAGGAGAGGGGACATCCTGAAGTGAGTCCACAGCTACTCGATTCTGCAGAGCCCATTTCCTGGGCTCCTGCCAAGGTGCTGCTTGGGGCAGGACCACACCTCTGGTTGGCTGGTGCCCATAGGCCCAGACAAAGGAACAAAGGCCAAGGCCCAGGTGGCAGCTTTCGGAATCTGTGGGTGGGAACAGCCTCACCCAGCACCTTTGGACAGAGCCATGCTTCCTAAGGCAAATCACAAAGATGCCAGGTCAGTTTCCAAGCCTCTGAGCCTCAGGCCAATGCTTAGCAACCATGATGTCCCAGAGCTTGGCCTTGGGGTGTCCTCAGCATCCCCACAATTTGTCCTGTCCCCTTGTCTGGGCTCCAGTTTTCTTCTATAGAGTAGAAGAGTAACTAACCCTTCTTAGACCAGACACTCAGTCTGGTCTAGAGAAGGCATTCAGCAAACAGCCCATCCACAGAGGCCACTGAGTGGCCGGTGGGGAGTGGGACCCTAGGGGGTTCCTCATGTTGGTTTGCTATACTGCTAGTGCTCAGTGATCCATTCGGGGTTTTATTTGATTTTCTTCTCTGAGATAGATCTCACTGTCTGTCCTGGAACTCAAGTTAACCAGGCTGGCCTCAAATTCATAGAGATCTCCCTGCCTCTGCCTCCCGAGTGCTGAGACTAACGCCCACGCATCAGCATCATCACACCCATACGGTTACCCATTTAGTACGTAACAGTGCCTGGTCTACCTGAGGCAAGACGGGTTTGCCTGTGTGAGCATGTGGATGGATATGCCGTGAATACACGTGTGACTAGGTGTGAGCAGAGCACGGTTTGTGTGTGCCCTGTCCCTTTCACTCCCCTGCTCTGTCACTAGAGGCAGAAGTTGAAGGTTAGGGGCTGGATCAGTAGAAAAGGGAAGAACACAAGGTGCAGGTTGCCCCCTGGAAGGGGCTCCTCAAGTGTTAGGAGAACGCACAGGTTCTTGGTGGCCCTCAGATCCGTGTGACGGTGTTAGAGAAGTGTGGGATTGGGAAAGGAGGCTGTGCCCCCAGGATGCCCTCCACCCATCTGCACGGCCCCTCCTGAAGCACTTGGCATCTTGTGACCTGCTTCCCGCCAGTGTCTGTCACCGTCCACAGCGCAGGAAGGGGAACAGCATTGGTATTCAAGGTGGTGAGACAGTCGTGGGTTGGAAACAGGGAAACTGGGTCAGGGACGTCCTACTTGGGTGTGCCTGCAAGGGTCTCCTCTCACCAGGAACCAAGCCCTCTAAATCTTCCCAACTCAAAGCTTGGCGCCTGGAGCCCTGCAAGGATCCCCATCCCCACCTAGACCGTGACGCTCTTTTTTCTGGAAGTGAACATAAACAAAAGTAACTAGCGTGTAAGATGGGGGACCGAGCTATTTACAAATGTACAGTGGGTGGGTCTCCGCTGCCTGGCCCGGGCAGGCTCAGAGGATGGTGAGCAGTGTTACCAGGACCAGCATGACTGCATGGGCAGCCAGGCAGGGGGCAGAGTTCTCCAAGTGCTGCCAACCTCGGGGGCCTCTTTGCTGCTGCGGGCTGTCGGCCCTCCCCTGAAACTTCAGTTCTGGGATGATTTGGTGGATCCACTGGTGATGGGAAGTGACACGGATGTAGACGCCTGGGCGGTTCCGGCGGGCACAGCCCTCGCCCCAGCTGATCACCCCAGCCTGCACCCACGACTGGTCCACAAGGCACACCAAGGGGCCTCCAGAGTCACCCTGTGGGGAAGCAGAGGGCCGTCAGAGCCCACCCGGGGCTCACTACAGCCCCGGGGGCCCAGGAACTTGCGCAGCGGTCCTCAGACAAGCCTGCTCATTGCTGTAATGTCCCAGCTTGCCTGTCTGCGGTATACACCCAGTGTGGTGTATTTTCAAAATGCAGAGCCAAGACTGGCTCATCATCTCATTTCGGGTAATGGAACCACAGCCTACCTCTCGAACTGGGCCTAGCTCCCTCTAGTGGTTCTTAACCTGTGGGTGGCGACCCCTTTAGGAGTCAAACAATCCTTCCACAGGGGTCCCCTGAGACCATCCTGCATATCAGGTATTTACATTATGATTCATGACTAGCATAATTACAGCTATTAGTAGCAATGGAAAGTGTGATTGGGGGTCGCACACCGTGAGGAACTGTATTAGAGGGTCACAGTGTTAGGATGGCCGAGAACCGCCGCTCCAGCGGCTTGGCCCTACACCCTACCTTACAGGCGTCCTTCTTGCCCTCTGCAAACCCTGCGCAGAGCATGTCATCCTTGATGGTTTGGAGCTGGAAGTCAGACTCGGTGTCTCTGCTGTACAGCAGGTTGCACCTGGGGGTGTCAATGATAGGTACAGCAAGCTTCTGCAGGACCCGTGGGTTGGGTAGTCGGTCTGGGGAGGGAAAGGAAGCCTGCAGCTCAGTGGACAGTCTTAACCAGGACCCTGAGGTTCTGGGTTCTCAAGAACCACAGCTGGCTCCATCCCTCCCTGGGTTTCCTCAGAACTTGACGGGACTGTTCCCTCCCTCCTCAGCACCTGATCCATATACCTGCCCCACCCAAGTGAGAAGCGATCATGTGTGTACACCAGTACCAACAGGAAAACCATCCTGTCCCCTGTCTTCCCCTAGCTCAGCCCCCTCACCTTGTTCACTGGGGCTGCCCCAGCCAGTGACCCAGCAGTTCATGCCCGACTCAAAGACGATGGAGGGGTCCGGCAGGCACACAGGAAGGATGTAATTGGTAAAGGTCACAGGCGCCTGCAGCTCGACCAGAGCCACGTCAGCACTGGAGGCCATGCCTTGGTACTGGGGGTTACTTTCCACCCGCTTCACACGGACATACAAGGCGTGTGGTCCCGGCTGCTGCAGCTGCAGTGCCCCCAGCAGGACTTGGTATATGGAGATGTCTGAAGTGCTGATGGGAAGAGCAGAGCTGGTGTGAGTGCCCTCCCCCGGAGGAGAGCGCCCACAGGTAGGCTGTTGTGGTCCCCGGCAGAATCTGACACCTCTCTACCTTCAACAATGTCATCTCCATGTTTAAGGCTGTAGAAACCGAAGACCTCCCACCTTTGATTCCCAGCTCTCCCTGGCTACCAGGTGACCTTGGTCAGTGACCTAACAAGTTCTCTGTGATTCAGTTTCCTCGTTTGTAAGGTGGGGACACTATTCGAAACATCTGTGGTAATACACCTACACCTATGGAGAACGGTGAGGCCAAGCCCTGCCTCTGAGCCCTGCGTAGGCCACCTCTGAGCTCGAGTTTCTAAGTGAAACACTGGCTTTTGGAAATATCCGCAGGGGCTGGCCAGATGGATCCACGGGTGGAAGTGCTTCCCATGCCCCTAAAAACCTGAGTGTTATCAGTAAAAACCGTGGGGAAAGAAAGGAGAAAACCCAAAAGTTGTCTTCTGACCTCCACATGCACACCATGACGCATGACCCCCCAAACCCACAATAATAAGTAAAGGAGGAAAAGAATTGCAGATCTATGAGGAAAGAGGTAACTATGTTTGGGGACCCTGAAATTCTAGGGCCAAGTGTCTCACATGGATGTGTGAGTGGGGAGTCTCCTTAGGTGATCTCAGGGAGGGTGAGGGAGAGGGAGAGTGTGTTTCAATTCTTGGGCTTATCTGATACCCAGGAGCCAGAGAGTTCTGGATGTGAGGTGGGGGGGCACGAGGAGAGGGAGGTGTGTGTGTCGGGGGTGCCTGCAGCATTTGTAGGGACAGGACCCCACGTATTACGGGCGGAACAAGAGCTGCAGCAGTGGTCGCAGCTTCGAGGCCTAGGGTTGGACCTAAAGGAAAATTTTAAATATCTACATGTATGATGTTTGCCTGCTAAAGCCAAAAGAGGGTGTTGGATCTCCCGGAACTTGAAGTGTAGACAGTGTGAGCCACCACGTGGGTGTGGGGAGTTGAACCCTGGTCCTCTGCAAGAACAGCCAGTGCTCTTAACCACTGAGCCATCTCCGAAGTTCCCTAAAGGAAAAATTTGGAAGACTGGACGTTACTGAACAAGACTGTCGGGGTTCACGCCAGTGCTGTCCTCGGTGCTGAACAGTCATGCATGGCTGTCTTGTCCCAGCCACTGGGACACAGAAAGGGCCAGCGTCACTTACTTGGAGAAGCAGTGTGCAGCGGTGAGGACCCATGTTGGTGCGATGAGACTGCCCCCGCAGAAGTGGGTCCCGTTTCGCTGGATGCTGACCTGCCAGGGCCACTCACCTTCTAAGGCGTTCTCCCCTCCTACCATCCGATTGAACATCCTTGGGTGCCCGCAGGCTGGAGAAACATGGCGTCACTCTCCGGGGGAGGGGCCTGGCTCCATGGCTTCCACTCCTTCCCCGACCCCACATGCCAGCTCTCACTTCCTGTCAGTTTTCAGGCCTTTCTGGCTCCTGAGCTACTCAGAACATTGGCAGGTCAGAGGCCCAAGTGTAGTTGGTTTTGATACGGGCTAATCCTTTCTAGTTCTGCCTTCCCAGGAACCTTGGTCCCCTCACTTATGTCAAGGTGACAGGACCCAACTTGGGGTCAGGAAGGTTGAAATAACACGGGAGATTGCCATCCCAGATCTGGACACGTGGGTCCCTGAAGGATGTCTGTATGTCATGTCTTCCACACGGCTGGTAGACCAGGGGGACAGTCATGGTACAGCAGGGAAGGTGTCCCCTCTCCTGGTACTTGCCCCTGATGCTTCCACCATGTCCTATTTTGCTGATCATATGGGAGATCTCTTCTTCCACTGCCTTCTGGAAGTTCTGCTCAGCCACATCTGGCTGGCTTTTCTGCTGCCCCGTGCATCTCGCCTTTCCCCTCCCTCCCTCCCTCCCTCCCTCCCTCCCTCCTCCCCCTCTCCTTCTCTCTTTCTGTGTGTGTCCAGTCCCTCCTGCATCTCAGCTGATCCCACTTACCTCTCGGAGCTCTGGCCCCTTCAGCCCCTGAAAGTGAGCAGAGCGGATCATCAGGCAACTTTGCCAAGCCAAGGTCTGTTCCTCCCTGCTTCTGCCTCCTCAGAGGTCTCTGTCCACTGAGGACAGAGAGGACAACCAGGAAAGCTAGCACTGCGGCCAAATGGGTTGACCTCCCTGCCTGGGTCAGCTTGTCCCCCCTTGTCCCCCACACAGGGATCTCTTCCTGCACCCTTCACCCCAGTTCTTGTCTTGCAATATGGAGTGGGAACAGTGCCTGGACCTCCAGTTCTAGAGCTTGAGTCTAGGGTCTGTCTCCCTCTCTTTCACCCACTAATGGCTCAGCTCTGGACGACAGGAAACCCTGGAGGCTGCTTCCACACATTATCCATCAGGGCCTCCCCCAAGTCTTCCAGAATGAGCAAGTCTCCTTCAGCTTCTCCCCAAGCCCTACTGAGGTCCAGACACCCATGGCCACTCTGCTCTCAAGGGAGTAGAGTTGGCCTAGCAAAGGCCAAGGGTCAACCTCCCAAGACTCTCTTCCTGAGAACTGAGCCCTCTTGCCAACCATGACCCTCTCCTGGACCACCATCAAAGTGAGGGACAAGTAGGGCAGGTCTGAGAGCACCAGGAGTGGGGTCCATCACCCACACCTACTCACTGCTCAGCCTTTCACCCAGGCCCCCTAAGCTCCAATCCAGACTCAGGCTTGAGCCCAGGCACCCCAGACTAGAAAGCTAGTACTTTCCTAGTTACTGCTCCCTTGGGCAGGCCTGTCAGAACCGGGGGGGGGGGGTGTCTCAGCACAGTCAGGCCCTCCACCTTGATGGTCACATTTTTATCTAAGCCCCAACACTTGAACCCAGGGGAAGGATGAAAAGAAAAACCACTTCAGGATGCTGAATGTCACAGGGACAGCAAATGGCCATGCTGAGCCACACATGGCCAACGGTGCCCAGAGTCCTTAAGGATGTCACAGGACTCTCCTCTTCCTTGTGGAGCTCCCAGTTGTGCAAGTCTCAATGCTACTGGGGGACAAAATCCAGAATGTGGGCTTGACAACGGGGTAGGGTGTAGATGTGTCTTAGTTGTGCGTGTGGTTAGTTGTTACAAGCTAGAATCCCCTGGGAACAGAGTCTCAATAAAGGATTGTCTACATTGGGTTGGCCTGTGGGTATATTGGCAGGGGATTGTCTTAATTAAGTTGTGGGAAGACCCAGCCCACTGTGGGTGGCACCAGTTCCTAAGCACAGCGGATGTCAGTCCTGAACTGTGTAAGAGTGAAAAAAAAAAAAAAAAAAAAAAACCACAAACTGAGCTAAACACAAGCGAGTATGCATGCATTCATTTCTCCGACTCTTGACTCTGGATGTGATCAGCTGTTCCAAGTCTCGTTGCCCTGAAATGATGGATTATCACCTGGAGTAGTTAGCTAAAATAAACCCTTTCTCCCCGGAGTTACTTTTTTTCATGATACTTTATCACAGTGCCAGATATAGAGGAACGGGAAGTAGCTACTGCTCAGGCCAGGACCAGATTCTTTTCAGAGCAGGACATCAAGCAGAGAGGAGCACATGTCGTGGTCACAGGAGACAAGAGCTGTGCTCTGGACCTCTGGCTTGGGAGCTTCTTTTCACAAGGTGCCCTTTTACATTGCAAATGCATGGAGTGATGTGGCTCATACCTGTTATCCCAGCATGCCCCCCTCAAGAGGCTGAGGCAGGAGGGTTGCATGGAGTTTAAGGCCAGACTGAGCTACACAATGACTATGGGTCAGTTGAAGCTGTGTTGTCTCAAAATAAATAAACTGGCTCAGCAGTTGAGAACACTTAGTGTTCTCTCAGAGGACCTGGGTTCAGGTCCCAGCACCCATGTGGTGATTCACAGCTGTCTCTAATTCCAGTTCCAGTGAATCCAACACAATTTTCTGGCCTCCATTGGCATTATGTGCACATGATACACATACATACATGCAAATAAAACATTCATATAAATAAAATAAAATATAAATAAAAGCCTGGAGAGATGGCTCCTTGTATAAGAACATTTGCTGGTTTTATAGAGGATCCCAGTTCAGTTCCCAGCACCCAGGGGCTCCAACAACCCCTTCTGGTCTGCGTACAGTTACACACACACACACACACACACACACACACACACACGGGGTGGGGGGACAGAGAGACAGAGCGATACATTAGAACAAAATGAAGCTGGGTGGTGGTAGTGCATGCCTTTAACCCCAGCACTCAGGAGGCAGAGGCAAGTGGATCTCTGTGAGTTCGAGGCCAGCCTGGTCTACCAAGAGAGTTCCAGGACAGCTAAGGCTACATAGAGAAACCTTGTCTTGAAAGACCAAAATAAATCAATAAAAATAAAAAATAAAGTGCAAATGTGACCAGAGAGAGGCCCTCCAGGCACACTTGTTAGAACCCCATTGGGGCCTGATCTCCAGGCCTGAAGAGTCGGTTTGCAATGCTGCCCAGCCTAGCTACCCTCTGTCCCCAAGGGCACAGGTGTGTGCGAGCCTCCCCCTTCTCGTCCCCAGAGCAGCTTGCAGGAGCCTTCTGTGAGTCTCCCTCCTGCCAGTCTCCTGACCCGGTACCCATGGTCTCGGCCACAGCTTAGTCCTTTCAGGCCGAGGCTCCCAGTCTCTACGAGTCCTACTGCGGGTTGAGGTCCACTCGAGTGCGGACGCCAACAGAAGCCTTTCTTCCCCTCTTCTACTGTCTTGGGTGCCTCCCCTGCTTCTCTGGGCTCTCTGTCCTTCGCCAGGGCGTGTGATCGCACCCAGAGCTCAGGCCTCGGAGATCTGCAAACACAGAGCCTGCTTCTAGGGACCTGAGCACAGAAACTGTGTGGAGGGATAGAGAGACATCCTGTCAGTGGTGGAAGGTACAGCCAGGGTCTTAGTCTATGCCCATCTGGCCTCCAGGTCCCTGATGCTGATGGGAGTGACTGAGGGCTAAGAAACTAGGCAAGACCACCCAGAGGACTGTTGGGGTGCTGGTCACCCTGGGCTGAAGTGAGCAAGTCACGCAGGGGTCCAGCCTCAGGTTGCAGCTGTTTGTGAGCCAAAGGCAGTCTGCTGTTTCTACTTTGGCAATGACCTCAATTGATCCACCCACGGGAGCTACTGCAGTGTCACACCCAGTGGAAATGGGCTTTCAAAGCTATTGTCCTTGCTGCTAGAGACCATGGACAGAAACCTTTCATGACTCTGAGGGAGGTAGGGGCATCCCTGCAGAGATGCCCACGTATGCCCTCCTACCCCTTGAGCCCTAGCTGAGACATGGTCTGAGGTGACTTGGCCTGTCCCTGGGAGGTGAACTGAGGACAGGGAAGTGTGGTGGCTGCTGGGCTGGCCCATCTGGCCTAGGAATGTGGGAGAGTTTCCCTGGTAGAGAGGAGTCCGCCTCCCAGGGAAGGGCTGACGGGCAGAGCACCTGCCTAGAACCTGCTGACCCCTGCTCAGGATGGGCAGGGCCTTTGTCTCTGTAGCAGGAGCTGGGACCCTCTGCGGCCTACAGCTCTTGCCCCCAGCTCCCTGCTGAGCCTCACAGATTCTGAAGGCTCCCTGGCTCAGATGGCAACCCCAGTTCACATAAGCCCAGGGACATGGAAGCCTGCAGGCTTGGGTTCAAATCCTAGAGGCATGGAGGCTTTGTCTCCTCATCTGAAGAATGGGAAACTAGGCCTCTAGGGGAGTCACAAGCTCAGAGCAGAGCATGGCACACTGAGAGCCCCAGGAGGATGGGGGTGCGGCTCTAGCCAAAGCACTGTCTTGAAGTCCTTGAGAGGCCTTGGAGGGGCCGTGGCCACATGCTCTGTCAGATCTCCCCACAGGCCCCCAGCCAGCTCCCCCAGGTGGAATATTTGGAACCTGAGTATATTCTCTGGGAACCCCATCACTGAGGAGGTTCCTTTCAGACTCAGGCCCAGGGATTCCTGGGGGGCGGGGGGCTCAACTGGAGCTCAGAGCAGCACAGAGGGTCCCCTCCAGAGAGGTGGCAGAGGGGCTGCCCTTGGGCTGCAACTCACCGGCTGTCAGCAGCAGCGGCGGCGGCAGCAGCAGCAGCAGCAGCAGGCCAGGGGTGCGGGGCCGCATCATGTTCTCTGGCTTGGGGGTTGGTTGAGCCCTGGGCAGCGGTGGCAGGAACTCTCGGTACTGCTGCGGAGGTGCAGGCTCCATGAAGCGAGGTTTTATGCTGGAGGTGAGTGTCAGCTCGCTATGCCGCCCAACCTGTCAACCCTGCCTGCCCAGTGCCTCTTCAGGAGGAAGGAGGTGCCCAGAACACCAGCTCCATGACCCGGCCCTGAACCCCAGGGGCCAGACCCCTTACTCTGCACACTTCAGGATTCTGGTAGCAAGATAACCCCCCCCCCCCCCCCCCCCCCCCCCCACACACACACACACACACACACACACACACACACCCCCCCGCCCCATGTGAGCTGACCACAAAGGCTGTTGGCTGCCTCCCTCAGCTGACCACAGGATCCACCTAAACTGGCAGAGTCTACTCCATCCAGAGGCTTTCCATTTCATTCATTCATTCATTCATTCATTCATTCATTCGTTCGTTCGTTTGATACCTGTTCTCCTACTTTTTACCTGACATCAGTGACCTAAAGTTGGGGTTTATACCCTGATGCGTGAGTATAAACGTTGACATTGAAGAACCAAGGTCAGGTTGCCTGTTCAACCAAGAAAGGGGGACCTCGACTGGCCCCTGTGCACCCCCACCCCCCCGCCCACCCACGCTCCTGGACCACACACACGCATCTGCGGATTGGCTCAGGTCATAGGACCGCCCCCCCCCCCCCCAAGTCTGGAGGTGCACCTTCTGGGCGTGACAAGAGCTGTTCTGGGAAGGCCGCATTGTGACTGGCAGGATGGCTGTCCAGTTCCTGCCCTGGGTGCGCCCGCCGGGCTCCAGGACGAGAGGCCGCGGCGGAAGTGTCCCTAGGAGGAAGTTATTTGGGGCACGAGACTGACATCAGTCCTAGCTGGACTCAGGTTCAGGAGGCCACTCCCTCCAAGCCACGAACTGGGTACAGAACCAGATCCTGGATGTCTCACAGCAGATCCCGCCAGGCCAGGGAACGGCGCTGGACAGCGGGGTCGAGCCCTGCCTGCCTCAGTTTCCCCGCTGGTGAGGAGGATGTGCAGCGTCGCACGTGCCAGGGGCGGTCGGAAGGTCAACAGGGCAGCGCAGGGTCACAGAGTGCTGTGGTCTCAGTCTCCCGGGCTTGCTGTGCAGTGCTGCCCTCTGGTGGCCGTCGCCACTCCTGTGTGGTCCCTGTCTGCTCTGCCTGTCCCTGCGCAACAAGTGTCTGCTCTTCCGGAACCCCTGTTCCCTGGAGGTGGCGGCATCCACATCCAGGACTTCCCCAGAGGATGCCACCTTCTCAATACAGAGGGTCCCCTCCGGAGAGGTGACCCTTCCGGAGAGGAGCTCCAATACAACCAGGTCCCCGCAGTCCCGGGGTGGCAGCTCAGGAATGGGGCTTCTCTGATCCTAGAAGACCAAGCTGTGGAAAGAGAGGGGACTCCAGACTCATATATCCGTTCGTTCGTTCATTCATTCATTCGTGTTTATTTTTATTTGCTTTTTTTTTTTTTTTTAGATTGGCTGATCTGGAACTCATTGTGTAGACCAGGCTAGCCTAGAATTCACAGGCTTCTTGTTTCTGCCTCCAGAGTGCTAGAATTAAAAGCGTGTATAACTATTTATATTTATTTGTTCCTTCTTTCCAGCATTTGCTCATGAAAGTGTTGGATAAGAGGCACCTAGATGCCCAGTAGTTTTAGGAACAGGGCACAGAGGCAGATAAAGGGCTCACTCTGCATCATGCACATGGCAGGGAGACAAGTTTGAGGGGACAGTTCTAATAATAAATTGTATTAAATGTTTCAGAGCAACTGGGCAGCCACACATCAGCCAGCTATCCAGTGATGAAGCCGCCCTACCGCTGAGGCAGTCTCAGACCCCTTGAAGCGAAGCGCTTCCTCTTGGAGCTTTCTGAGTTTTTCCTCACCCTCTTCTCTCTTCTAAAAGCAGGTACTTTACATACAACTCTGCCTTGAAGCGAGGCGGGCAACAGGAGTGAGTGTGTGGGTCCAGAGGAAGCTGGGCTCGTGAGAAGACATGTGGGTCCCTCCCATTATCAGTGAGCCAGTCCCCAGCTGCCCCTGCGTGGCCTTGAGGACTAGAATGTCCTGGACCAGATGCTAAGAGCACATAGCAGGTGAGGTGGGCAACAGCAAAAAGCTAGACGCCGTCTCCACACGGACCACCACCAGACAAGAGAAATGAAAGATTGTTATCAAATCTCTCCTAACATTAAGAGCTCTTTGGAGCATTTTGACTTTTTTTTTTAAATGTCATTACATTTATTAATTTAGTATGTGTTCAAGAAGGTGTGTGTGTGTGTGTGTGTGTGTGTGTGTGTGTGTGTGTGTGTAGGCAGCCAGAGGGCAGCTTGAAAAAAATCAACTGTTCCTTCCACCGTGTGGATTCCAGGGACAGCACTCAGGGCCATGGGCTTGGCAGAGAGCACGAGCTAGCTCACTCATCCTCTGGAGCACCTTCCAAGGTTAGAGGTCATGGTAGTTATCCCAAAAGAAAAGAACTGTGGCTCACAAGCTAACAACACAAACATCGGTTACAAATAGAAAGGCAAACAATAAGAAAAATCAGTGTGGGAAACATGGTTGGATGATGGCACCATTGTTACTCAGAGTGCTCAAAGAAATTAGTCAGAAAACGAAACAAAACAAAACAAACCCCGCTGAATCCTCAAGGTAAAGTGGGTAAAGCACATAGACGGGGTGACGAAGAGGAAACTCATTTGGCTAACACATGTGCTGGGAAATGTTTGCCTTAGTAATTAAATGAATGCAAATCAAAGCCACAGCAAAGGGACCTGGGTTGTCACTTGCAGGTCAGCAAAGCCTGGAAGAATGCTGCTAGGCAAGGCCACAGGGAAGTGGGTCAGAGGGCGAGCACAGAACTGGCCTGGGGGAGTTGTTTTTTATCCCGAGAAAGGGTTATGTTATATAGCCCAAACTAGCCTTGAATTCACTGTGTATTCCAGGCTGTGAAAACGTATTTTGACTAAAGATGTTACATTTGCAAAACTAAACCTGCCTGTAATTCTAGCAGTTGGGAGGCTGAGGCAGAAAAATTAAAAAAAAAAAAAAAAGCAAGTTTTTTTTTTCCTGCTACATAATGAGACCTTCCTTGACTCAAACAAATAAACAAACAAATTGTTTTGTTTTAAATACAACCTCTGGAGGACTGGAGAGATGTCTCAGTGGTCAAGAGCACTGGCTGCCCTTCCAAAGGTCCTGAGTTCAATTCCCAGCAACCACAAGGTGACTCACAAGCATCTGTAATGAGATCTGGTGCCCTCTTCTGACACAAAGTTGACAGAGCACTCATACGCATAAAATAAATAAATCATAAAATAAATAAACCTCTGAATTAGATTTATAAAAATGATATTTCTATCAAGAGTGCATAAATATGGAAATACTTGTGATACAGGGGAAATGGAAAGCAGAGAGGCTGGGAATGGAGCTGGTTGGTAGAGTTCTTGATTAGCATGTATAAAGCCCTGGCATAGACCATAGCGCTGGGGAGGCAGAAACACAGGAGGACTAGACACTCAAGGTAATTCTAATTTACACATGGAGCTCAAGGCCAGCCTTGGGTACCTGAAACCCTATCTCCAAAACAAAACAAAACCAGTGTGGAGGAGTACACCTTTAATTCCAGCACTCAGGAGGCAGGTATGGTGATGTACTGTGTGCCCTAATAAACTTGCCTGAGGATCAGAGAAACAGAGCAGCCAGCCACTAGTTCTCACCTCTACAAAATCCTCAGTCTAAAGAGAGTGAGTTCCTGTTTCCTCACGCCTTAAACACCTTTCTCTGCCCTGCCATATCACCTCCTAGGATTAAAGGCATGTGTGCTTCCCAAGCAAAGGCACGAGATCTCAAGTGCTGGGATTAAAGGTGTGTGCCACCACTGCCTGGCTCTGTTTTTAATCTAGTAGTTTGCTCTGTCCTCTGATCCTCAGGCAAGTTTATTAGGGTACACAATATATCACCACAGGCAGGTGCATCTGAGTTTGAGGCCAGCCTGGTCTATAGAGTGAGTTTCAGGACAGCCAGGGATACATAGACTAGAGAGACCTTGTCTCAAACAAAAAGCCAAAAGGGAGGGAAAAAAAGGAAAGAAGGAAGGAAAAAAAGAAAGAAAGGAAAAACAAAGAATTGCAGAAAGTACAACTGTAAGAAGATTAGATTTTATTTTTATTTTATATGTGTGTGTCTGTGTTTGTGTGTGTGTGCCACATGTGTGCAAGTGCTCAGGCCAGAAGAGGGAGCTAGATTCCCAGGAACTGGAGTTACAGGCAGTTACGCCAGAAGTGGGTGCTGGGAACCAAACCAAAAGAGCAACAGGTGCTCTTAACTGCTGAGCCATTTCTCCAGCCCCTCCCCCTCCCTCCCTCCTTTCCTCCCTCCCTCCTTTCCTCCCTCCCTTCCTTCTCCCTTTCTTCCTTCTTTTCCACTTCCATTTCCTCCTTCTTCTCCTCTTCTTCTCTCTTTTTCTCTGACTTTGAAACAAATGTCTTTTTTTACCCCTAGACAGTGTTTCTCTGTGTAGCCCTGGCTGACCTGAAACTTGCCATCCCCCTGCCTCAGCTTCTTGAGTACTAGCATTACAGATGTGCATCACCATACCTGACCAGGAAAATTTAATTTCATAACATGAGTAGCAAAATCACCTCAAAAGAAATTCTGCACTGTATCTGGCCCTTCCTAGCAGTTCTGAAGTCATGTGTTTCCCTTTCAAGAGCAAGTGACAGGAAACCAACCCAGACTTGGGGACATGACGGGTTGTCATGGCAGGGGAATCCCGGGGCTTGAGTTGCAGGCCACGGTGGCACTGCCTGCCTATCCTCCCCAGGGTCACTGCCTATCTCTGGGGTACCTGCAAGCTCAGGACTCTGAGATGACTCCCCCAGTTGGGACTATGCTGCTGCCTGGACTCTCCTCAGGGAACCCCAGCTTAGAGGACCAAAGCTCTTCCACCCTGTTGCTGTGGACAAGCCTGTAGCTGGAGGGCTTCTCTCCAGGTTCCCCAAGCCCCGCAGTCCCACAATCCACTTATAAAATAATCACTCAGACACTTATAAACTGTATGGCCGTGGCAGGCTTCTTGCTAACTGTTCTTTTAGCTTAAATTAATCCATTTCCATAAATCTATACCTTGCCACGTGGCTGGTGGTTTACCGGCATCTTCACATGCTGCTGGTCATGGCAGCGGCTGCAGTGTCTCTCCGCCTCAGCCTTCCGCTTCCCAGAATTCTCCTCTCTCCTTGTCCCACCTACTTCCTGCCTGGCCACTGGCCAATCAGTGTTTTATTTATTGACCAATCAGAGCAATTTGACATACAGACCGTCCCACAGCACAAGCCCAAGGTAGGAATGCCTGACTCTACTTCACTCCTGCGCTGTGACTGGCACATGGCCACAGGGCAGGAGTTCTTAATGGAACAGAGAGGAGGGGTCTGGGAAGCGAGAAACGGTGACGCCACTCTCTCAGGCATGCATGAGACTGCTTCCTGCATGAAGCTCCCCACAACTTTACCCCTCCTATACACGCTACTCTTGAAAGCCATTGAGCTTGGAACTATTGAGAAAGGCAGACTCCAACCAAAGGAACGAGCCCAGGAAGTGGAAGAGGTGGGCTATAGAAAACAGCCTAACCAGAGGAGCAGAAGGCTCCCACCATGATGGCAAAGGGGATTCCAGAATGGCAAAGTGCTGGACTCTGGAGGGCACAGGTCATGGTTGGAGCACTGATTTGGGAGGATTGGCATCATCATGCACTGGGCCGCTGCACTGTCTCTTTAGATTCGGCTACCAAGGATGTGCTCCTGCACAGCAAGACTTCAGCTGAGGAAAACCTGAGATGCAAGGCGAGGAATCCAAAAGACTGGGGAGGTAAATGGGACCCGGTGGTGACAGTGGCCTGGAGAGGAAGCAGTGGCAGCTCCGGGAGGGACGTGGCATAGGGCAGTGAAAAGCTGCCTGGGATCCCAGAGCTGCTCCAAGTTCTGTTATGTGTAGCTTGCTTCAGATGAGTACTGCCTGAAATGTCCTCTTTCTTCTCTTCGCTTCCATTCATTTTTTCTTTTCTTTCTTTTTTTTGTGTATC